GCCAGAGCGCGCCAACTTTGGAAGCGCAAGCCCGTGGAGTATGCAACCTTCTGCTCGTCCGTGCACAGCGACGAGAAAAGCCGCCTGGCGACGCAGCACTTCAGCGTCGATGGGCTGCTCGAGATCCACGCGCTGCTCTTCATGCCCCCTCGGGCCCCCCTCGAGTCTGCGAAGACGCCAAACCACACCCATCTCTACGAGCAGAGCGTCTGCTTCACGGACTCCTGCGATGAGTGTATCCCAGAGTGGTTCCACATTGTCTGGGGCGTGGTGCATTTTGAAATTCTGCCGCAGACCCCAGGATAACAACATCCTGCTTCTGATCAGAGAACACCTCATTATGCACTGCTTGTAGCTGTTCGCGGAGATCCCCGAGACGCAGGACGCCTACAACAAACTTTACGAGCAGCTTGGCAAGTGCCTCCGTCTAGACGGGCAGCAAACCCGTGCCGACGACGAGACTTACATGAATGGCGTCTCTCGCGCTCCGTGCACCAATGGCCCCGCCCTCTACGAAGTGATTTGCGCCGCGCCCGAGCGGCGCCCCGAGGGCAATATGGAAGGAAACATGGGCTTCTACTTCGACGCGCGCCCTAATTCCCACATGTTCGATTCTACGGCACACGCCATGCTGGACTCCGCGAGCACGTGCGCCCGAAGGGTATGGAGGTTCTTCCCAAGACCGCCCCCCATGAGGACCACTCTGCACAGACGCTCGGTGAGCTCGGCCTCAACGCACAGTCCACTGTCAAGGAGGACGGCAGGGCAGGATGCGAGAGACACAAGTCGATGCTAGCCATTTCTGCGTGAAGATGGCATTGCATAGTGTATGGTATGCCTCAATCGACTTTGTGGCACTGGCGCTTGTGCCTTCCTCCTCCTTGTCTAGCCTCCTCCGTAATGTTCCGAAGCAACGCAGCGCAGCCCTCCTGTGCAAGCCGCCTCAGAGTATGGCCCATGCGGGGTAGTCCGAAATTTTGGTTCGCTGCGACGAACAGCATTTGTTCTTCAAAGCAGACGCCTCCTCGTTGTTGGCCTTGTGTCGAAGAACCAGTCGCAATTGCTACCATCGACAGCGCCATCGTCATCATTATCATCAGCACCAGCTTCGTGATGATCCTCGCCATCAGCAGCAGCATTATCTTCACTGCTGGGCCATCACAGTGATCACCATCGTCAGTCGCCGTCGTGGTCATTATCGTCATCATTCGTACGTCCCGTCACCATCTCCACCATGTCCTTGTGTGATGAAGACGGCGCAAATGCACCTAGTAGAGTGGAACAGAGAACACACGCATGTGTCCCCCCCTGGTTCTTCTGGGAGGGTGCACGTAGCGCGCAAACAGTTTGCCAACGCGCGGGGCACAAACAGTTTACTTGTGCGTCAACACTTGAGCCCCCCATGAGTGTGGGTGCGTTCGGAACATATGGCGCGTCGAGCCGTATGGCGAATGGCGCCTTGTGTTGTGTGGAACGTAGAGCGCAGCTCTGTGTGTGTGTGGATTCCTGCGTGTGTGGACACTCCAGATCTGGAACCTGATGTATGTCCGTTCGCGTGTGCAACCGAAACCCATGTCCAAGCCCACCTAGCCCGAGCCCGCGGGCGAATCCACGCCCAAATTGTTGTCGCTTCGCGAATCCCCACCAGCCCATCCAGAAACGATGCCCAGAGGAATTGCCTCGATCAGAGAAGTGGGCAGCACACAGAGGAAGCCATTATGAGACATCTTGGGATATCTTGAGCCATCTTGGAGGTCATTTTGGGCTCTCCCAGACGCTCTTGGAGTCATCTTAATCCGTGCCCCCCCCCAAGAGGCCTCCATGTGGCTAAAACCTGTGTAGAATCAATGATTAGGCATTCTCGCCGAGGCCTCTTGGAGCATCTTGGGTGCATCTGGGGGGGCTCTTGGGGCCTCTTGGGGGTCTCTTGGGGGCCTCCGGGGGGCCTCTTGGGGGCCTCTTGGGGCCATTTTGGGGCCATCTTGGGACCTCTTGGGGCTTCCTGGGCGCTTCTTGGGGCCATCTTGGAGGAGATCGATCAAACAAGAGGGGGGGTTTAATTAGCGTCCCCCCTCGGAAGCCCCTAAAATCGCCTCTTGGACCCCTCTTGGAACGCTCTTGGAGTGCTCTTGGGCGCTCTTGGGGCCGTCTTGGGGCTCTTTTGGGGCTCTCTTGGGGCCCTCTTGGGCCATCTTGGAACCATCTCCAGGCCTCGGATGGCCATCGGAAGCGAAAAGGCGAGAAAGCAAAAATCATTGATTTTCCTTAGGTTTTGGGACGATTTTGGCCTCTTCGGGGCCTCCTTGGGGAGCTGTTTGGCCACTTGGAGTTATCTTGGGGCCGTCTTTGGGCTTCTTGGAACCATCTTAGGAGCCATCTCGAGCGATCTTGCGCTATCTTGAGCCATCTTGGAGCTCATCTTGGGTTCTCTGAGGCGCTCTTGGAGCCGTCTTGGGCCATCTGGGACGCTCTAACTACCCGCGGCCCCCCCCGTCCAGGTCCAGGGGAGGGGGTAGGGGGAGGGGTAAACCCCTCCCCAAGGGGGAAGAGGGAGGGGTGGAAGAGGATCTGCTCTAGACCACCTACGCCCAGAGGGCTGGTGGGACTCCAGGCGGCGACGGCCCCGCTCCGCCACACGGGGCCGGTTTTCTGAAGCAGAGGCCAGGGACCCCGTCGGTGATCGGTGCAAGCGCTGCTCGCGGAATGCCCGCGGACGTCTGCCCGCCTGTCAGACAGGCCTCGAGTGAGGATAAGATCGCCCCGCGTACCATAACGTTTTCATAAGTTTCTGGAGCGTTCTTGGGCGGCCGCGAATGCTCTGGAGCGGCCGCGGTGTTCGATACCTCTTCCAGGCCAGCCAGCTCGCAGACATTCCTGATGTATCCCCATCCGGACGTACGTTAGGCTCGCGTCGTGTCGACCAGCTGCGGCCCCGCCGCGGGCGTTCAAGGTTGAACGCCGCCAGCGGCCCAGAATCGGCTAATATAGAACGACCTGGCGATCGGAAAACCGCCACTCGTCCAAAGGTGATGCGGTGTCACAAATCAACGCCGAGGTCGGCGCAACACAAACCTGCCGTATCCTCATCCTGTTCTCGTCTTGCTGCGCCCCCAAACCCCGCACCGTCTCCACCCCCCTCTCCACGGGCAATGTTGATGGGCCTGCTTTCCACCACCACCACAAGTTGGATGGGGGGAAGGATGAGGAGGCGAGGCGAGGCGACTCCCAGTTCGCCCAAAAGGGCGGCCGCGCGGGGGGCTGGGAGGTGGCGCCGGGGCGCCGCCCCCTCCTCCTCCTACTTATGGTGGTGGCGGTGGAAAACAAACCCACCAAACGCTCCAGGGGGTGGTTCCGGGGGGAACGCCCATCGACCCTTTTGTCGTCCATTGATCGCCCCCACGGGCCCGAGAGAGCCCACGCCGCCCCCAAGAACGCAGATGGCTTCGCCACCGGGGGCCTCCTTGCACCGCCCATCACTCAGCGATGCATCGCCGGTGCCAGTGAAGTGGTCCCCCCACAGGATGCCATCCCAGGAGGCTGCAGGGAGGGTTCCGCCCTCTGTGGGCCTCCGCTCCCTCGAGTCCTGCCTCCCTCCCTCCTGGGCGTCCCTCGTGGGAAGCCCACGAGGGATCCAACCCTCCCTCCCCTTGTGGGCTTCCCCCTCCCTCCCATCCACGTCAGTGCTCCCACTCTCCCGCCCCAGTGATTCCGTCTCCCCCCCCCCCTCCCTGCCCTGTCCGCTTCCCCACTCAGGCTCTGGGGGTCCGCCCAGAAGACCAGCTACGAAGGATCCAACCCTCCCTCCCCTTGTGTGCTCCCCCCTCCCTCCCATCCGCGTCAGTGCTTCCCCCCTCCCGTCCCAGTGGTTCCATCTCCCCCCCCCTCCCTGCCCTGTCCGCTTCTCCCCACTCAGGCTCTGGGGGTCCGCCCACAAGACCAGCTACGGCGGCGAGGACAGCACTCGTCGCCCGGCCGGTCTGTCCGCGCCGGGGCGGAGCTGGAGGAGGACGAGGAGAAGAAGGAGCAAGAGGCAGAGGAGGAGGTGGAGGGGAAAGAGGAGGGTGGAGGAGGAGAGGCAGGAGGAGGAGGAGGAGGAGGAGGAGGAGGAGGAGGAGGGGAAAGAAGAGGGTGGGGGAGAGAGGCAGGAGAGGAGGAGAGGAGGAGGAGGAGGAGAGGAGGAGGAGGCGGGGGGGGAGGACGAACATGGCAACGAAGAGACGGAGGAGATAAAGAAGGGGGAGGTGGGATGATGTGCGAGAGCAGGAGGAGGAGGAGGAGGAGGAGGAGGAGGAGGAGGAGGAGGAGGAGAGGAGGAGGAGGAGGAGGGAGGAGGAGGAGGAGGAGGAGGGGGGGGAGGAGTGGGATGACGGGCGCGGCGACGAAGAGACGGAGGAGATATCGAAGGGGGAGGTGGGATGATGTGCGAGAGGAGGAGGAGGAGGAGGAAGAGGAGGACCGGCAGCAGCATCAGCAGCGGCTTCATCTGGAGGGAGCTGGGGGAGGGGGAGGAGAAGGAGAAGGAGGAGGAGGAGAAGGAGGAGGAAGAGGAGGAGGAGGAAGAGGAGGCGGAGGAGGAGAAGGGATGCGGGGCGAGGGCCCAAACATGTAACGTCGCGATTATATTCACAACGTTGCTCCCCAGTGGTCTGGACACCCTCCTGGGAACTGGCGGTTCATCCCGAGTCGTTCTTTATTTACAATCCCCTGGCCCCGTGAGGGCCACCAGAGGCAGAATCTGAACATCAGAATGCCCCAACGTCGTTCCCAAATATGCAAGCGACCACATCAGCGCATCCGGCAGAGGTCTCGGAACACACAATCCTTACGACCAGGTCGGACCTCTTACATAGGAACCCCCTGCCACGAATCACCCTGGTTGCCTCCAGGGTGCCCTGGTTTTCTTTCGTTTCTGTGGTTTTGCTGTGGAAATCGTGACGCTCCCACACCAGCGCTCAATGCACGCCCAGTAGTCTCGGGGTTGCGTTTCTTGGGGAAGGGACATTCTTGCAATCGAGCTTCTACGGTATGCCAAAGCACCGTCGGAAATTAGAAAACATACATTACCAGTGGCGGGCTGTTTTTCAATCCCAGAACTTTCTGAAGGTCGGGGACGACGTCTGCGTGGTGTGGTGTATACTTGCTTCGTCCGTTTCCAGGGGAACACAACGAGAAACGTATGCACCAGGGTCCCGTACACACCAGGACCCGCTTTCCTGTGCAGAGTTCAGTGCAGCGCCGGAGGAAGCGTCCGTGTACGGTGGGTTCGCGTCGTGCCGACCGGCGGCGACCCCGCCGCCGCCTTCCACGTTGAACGCCACCAGCGACCCAGAATCGCTCGATGTTGCACGATCCGACGTGCCGGCAACGGCCGACCGTTCAAGGTTGAGCGATCCCCGCGGTGTCAGGAACCAACGCCGGGGTCGACACGACACGAGCCCGCGGCACGGAGCCCGGCTCCCCTACGCAGGTGGGGAACGGGCCTCCTGCCGCACACGCCGCCTCGGGCTTCGCGGCGCGAGGGCTGTCCGGCCGGCCAGGGCGCGAGCCGGCCGGCCCGGGGGAGGCGCGGCGGGGCTCGCGCGGGCGCGCGCCCGGAGCGGATCTGCCGCATACAGGACGGGGGGAGGAGGGAGGATAGGGAGGTCCTCCTCCTCCTCCTCCTGCTCCTCCTCCTCCTCCTCTTCCTCCTCCTCCTCCTCCTCCCCCCTCCTCCTCTCTCCTCCTCCTCCTCCTCCTCCTCCTCCTCTCTCCTCCTCCTCCTCCTCCTCCTCCATCCCCTCCCCTCCCTCCTCCTCCTCCTCCTCCTCCTCCTCCTCCTCCTCCTCCTCCTCCTCCTCCTCCTCTCTCCTCCTCCTCCTCCTCTCCTCCTCCTCCTCTTTTCCTCCTTCCCCTCCGCCTCCTCCTCCTCCTCCTCCGCCTCCTCCTCCTCCCTGTCCTACCTGTGGTAGAAGTGGTGGCAGGTCGGCCCATCAAGAGCCGCCGGGGTGGAGCGCGCGCAGCGTGCACGTGGCCAGCCTGGGGCGTAGGAGGAAGAGGGCTGCGCACGCCCCCGAGGCTGGAGGGTTTCTCCGAAGGGCTTAGGCGACCCGTCCTCCTCCTCCTCCTCCTCCTCCTCCTCCCTCCTCCTCTCCTCCTCCCTCCTCCTCCTCCTCCTCCTCCTCCTCTCCTCCTCCTTCTCCTTCTCCTCCCCTCCTCCTCTCCTCCTCCCTCCTCTCCTCCTCCATCTTCTCTCCCCTCCCCTGCTCCACCTCCTCCTCCTCCTCCTCCTCCTTCTCCTCCCCTCCTCCTCCTCCCCTCTCCACATTCACCTCCTCCTCCTCCTCCTCCTCCTCCTCCTCCTCCTCCTCCTCCTCCTCCTCCTCCTCCTCCTCGGGTCGCCTACGGCCCCAGGGCAGACCGTGCACACAAGGCTTGCCTTTCCTCCAACCCTGAGGTCTTGGCGCCCAATTTAGTTGAGCCGGGCGTATTCGCTTTTTTTCTGAGATTGATAAACCTCCTACCCCGACACGTCGATTAGCGAATTGGCCGGTTTCGGTTCGCTTGAGGGCGTCGCGGTCGTGATTTTTGGTGGTCCAGGTCCGTCGGTTTCGGTCCTAGGCCGCTTTTACTAAAGGATGGTGTTGTAAAGGGAGGTGTGTTTGTCCATCGCCGATTTGTTCTGGCCCTGGAACCCTCACATATCGATCCGGAAACAAAAATGACGCAGAACGATGTGGTCCATGGCTACAGGCGTGACTTTTGACGGTGGTGCAATTTTGGTTGCAACGTCGGATCTCAGAGAAGAGAAGCGGCATAATCTCAAACAGCTGTTCCCCCATGGAAGTCCCTTTTGGATGGCCTCCTCCTTGTGCCTCCTTGTCCTGGCGCCAACATCCAAGAGCGGACTTCATTCGGAAAGTAAACGGATGGGCCCGGACTGTCCTGGAGAATTCCGTTCCGGATTTCCAAGTGAATGTCGTGCGGATGTTTTTGGGCCAGGAGTAAAGACTACAAAACATCCACGTGAAATTAACTTCGTTTTTCGCTTGCCGTTTCAGGGCTTTGCATTGACAGACATCCAGTCAAACAGCCGCTGCAGTACGTTTGCAAGGTCGATGCAGTGGGTCTTGCCTTTGGGGCAGACCACGGGGGGGTGGCACGAGGGTTGGCAGCTTTCTGACAAGGCAGGTGGGTTTCTCGGAAGCCCGGGGACCTTCTCAGAGGCTCCTAAGAGGGCTTCTCAGAAGCCCCGCCGCCTTCTTCGGATTCGGGCGAAGGGCTCCTTCGCAGAGGGGGCCTCAAACTGTGTGCAATAATTCATACAATCGCTTGTGCAGGATGCGCACGTCGTACAAGTTCAGCACGTGGCTGCCACGCGCCATGCGCCACAGGATGAACTATTGCATTATGCTTCGCGACCCCATTTCGAAAGACCCCCTTTGCCCGGAACCAGCTTCTTCGAAGCCCCCCCCCCTGGAGGCAGCCCCGCGTGGACGCCGCCACGCATACACCGCTTTTCGAAAGTGTTGGCTGTCAGAGACAGGAGCCCACGCGATGGGAGGGAGCCGCTCCCGATCGTCGCCCCAGCGGGGCTCGCCGAGGCCGCGCAGGCCCGCGGTCTGAGAGCGCCGTGCTCCGAGATCCCGGCAGGGCCCACCCTGTGCCCAGGATCGGCGCACCCAGAGATCCGACGTCGTGAGTTTTTCAATGCGGTTAAGTCGGGCGTGTCCCCCTACAGAGGGGATTTTCGACAAACAAAAAAAAACATACCCCCAAAATGCTCCAAACTGGTCAAAAACTATTCAAAAAATTGTCCCCGTATTATTTTTGAACTATTTTCGAATATTCCCCCTATAGAGGGACAGGCCCGACTTAACAATACGGGGTCCTCGGAAGTCTCGACCCCTTCCCGGAGACCGGTTGTCCATCCTGAGTCGTTTCTTGACGGTCCCGGGGCCCGGCGAAGGGCCCCCTGGAGGCCGACAACTGAAAAAAACACCTCCGTCTTGATTTTTTTCTATGCGCTGGATCTCTGGGCCTGCGCCCTCCTGGCCTGGCCAGGGAGGCATATATGCACCGATCCTGGGCCCAGGCCTGGGCCCAGCCAGGCCCGGCGCATGTGCACAGTGCAGCCCTCTGCGCCCGAAGGCGAGGGCTGTGCAGAGGCCGGAGCCATGCCACGAGGAGCCCGACCCGGGACTTGTTTGAGGGTCCGGCGATAACCTGGTTTCTCGGGCTTGCCCCCCTCCCCCCCCATGATAACCTAACCTTGCCGGTTGTGCAGGTCCGGGGTGGGTTGGCGCCGGCATATGCAGGGCTGCCCACAGCGCGAAGGTTAGGTTATCGGCCGCCCCCGTCCCCCCCCGTTCGGATAACCTGGCTTCTCGCCGATTCCAAAAAAACAGTCTCCAGTCAGCTCGCAAGTGACGCGCGGGAGGCCAGGTCCCCCGCGGGGTCGCGAATTGGATCGCGCTCCGCGCGTCGCGCGGCCTGGGCGCCCAGGCGGCTGCCCTTCCCCGAGGGGGGCGGCGCGAGCGCGCGAAGGTGAGCGGGCATCGCGGGGCGCGTTGCGCGAGGCTGTGTTTAAGTCGGGCGTGAATATTCGGGGGACGATTTTTGACCATTCTGGTGGTATTTGCTTGACTCTCTTTCATTTTTCGCCTAGAATGCGCCTGTAGGGGGACATGCCCGACCTAAAGCAAGGCTGTGTGATATGTGGTGGGCCAGGAGCTCCTGGCCAGACGGGGCGCATATGGCATGCGCGCCCTCTGTCAGCAACTACGCTAACGCCGTCTTGGCCCACGCACTCAGCCCCCCCAAGAGACGCCCCGAACGGGTCGGTGCACAGACGGTGCGCTTCCCGAGGAGGAGCCCAAGGAGGGCCCAGCCTGCGGGGTGGGCGCCCCGCGGTGGAAGTGCGCTGCCCCCGTGGGGGGCCTGCAGGAGCCCCGGGGCCGCCCCGAGCTTGTGGCAAGAGTCTGCTCTTGTGCGCGCACCTGCTGTGGGGAGCACCTGCTCTTGGGCGCCACGGCCTGGAGGGTTTCTCCGAAGGGCTTAGGCGACCCGTCCTCCTCTTCCTCCTCCTCCTCCTCCTCCTCCTCCTCCTCCTCCTCCTCCTCGGGTCGCTTACGGCCCCGGGAGAAACCGTGCACCACGGCTACGCCGGGACTCGCGAGGAGCGCCTGAGGAGTAGCCCAGTGCAGGGCGCGGGGAACCTGAGCCCCTGCCGAAATCAAAGAGGTCGTGTTCCAAAACGTTGGTTGCACGTGTGGCGACATGTTGTTTCCCGAGTTCATCCCTTTGTGTGGTCTGGGGTCCGGTGGCCCTCCTCATGTGCATCCAGCGCCTGACCTCATCATGTTCTGCATGCGAATCCAGTCATGTGTGTTGGCAGCTGTTACAGGCAGGCGCCACTTTGCCTATATTTGTTGTTGCATTCGTGGCCCCCGAGGAACGTCGTGGCCATTTCCAGCAACCCTTGCCAGCGACTGGAGCCTGACGAGGGCTTCGGAACAGCGGCATCGACGCCCGGATTTGCCTTCTGTTGGTATTCGTGCAGGGCCGAAACAAGGACGAAACGATCGGGGATGATGACTTTCAGCACTTCACGATAATTGTGAGTAGGTTCCGCCGCTTGTTTAGCGGGCAGCGTTGCCCGCTGAATAGCGAGTACCATTTGCTCAACAGCAGACGCTGCCAACGTTGGACGGCGTTTGTTGTTGGAGATTGCCCCCATCGATCCGATTTCGGGCGTGAGAGCCCATGCACATATCGAGCCTCCACTCCTCCAGGAAGCATGCACATCCAGTGGTACGCGCATCCACCCCTCGGAACAAAAACAACAACAAAACATGTACGAATACCCCTTCGGGAGCCCTTCAGAGCCTCCGGCTTCGACACCTCAGTCCTGTCGTACGAGCGTCCTGGAGGGCTTGTTTGTTGAGGGGGCGAAGGGACGCGCTGCTGCCAGGAGCGCCCCGATGGTCAGCCCGACCACTGGCTCCACGGCGACTACTGGAAC